ACAAGGAGGCCGCTGCCATAGCTTACCTACTCGTGCTGGGGAGAGTTCGGGACAAGCCCTTGGTGGAGGTGGAGCTCCCTTTGGTGTTTGCAGGGCTCAACCCTACCCCCATCAGTAGGAGAGGTCTCATAGTCTTTTAACATGTTCCCTTCATCTTCGGCTTACTGACTCCTTTTTGTTTGCTTGCAGAGGTTCCCATGGATGCGAAGAAGATGCTTTTGGAGAGTGTTCGCGCAAGGAAGAAGATTCAAGGCGGCAACACGCTAGTGGGGCAGACGCCGAGGAGGCCTACCAAGGGAGTACCCGCGAGGGGTGAGCGGGTGCCCGTCCCTCCGAGGGAGGTCAACCCACCACAAGTCCCCGTTGGCCGAGGAGATCGAGGGAAGAGATCGGCCGAAGGGGGAAAGAAGAGGCCAATTGAGGAAGCCAACCGAGAGCAAGCCACCGAAGAAGCTAGCGCACAAGGAGCGCCCTATTGAGGGCGCGGTGATGAAGAAGCCTCCTACAAAGGGCTGTCCCGTGGGGCCTTCATCCGCCCTTGCGTCTGCATAGGACCTGGCCGAGGAGGGAGAGCGCCTCACCTGGGTGTTCCGTCCCTAGTGGCAAGTCCAAGAGGGGGACTCCATCAGCGAGGAGGGGGTTGGTAGGGCCCTGATGAGTGGGGTGGTCCCTCCAAGGGACCAATACAACATGATGCAGACCGGCCCCACGGTCATTCATGATGAAGGTCTAACTTTCTTGGCCGAGGTAAGCTCCCATCTCTCGTACTTCGTCATTTCTTGAGTTATGTTCGTCTTACTGATAATATTTGGCGCAGGTCTACCGTTACTTCGTCGGTCTTGGGGCCAAGTGGAGCTCTTCCATGACTACCTCAAAAGGGTCAAGAAGATGAATGAGAAGCTCCAACTGAGGGTAGTTTTGACAGAGAGCAGTCGGGATGAAGCTGCCTTGGCTCTGAAGGATGAGAAGCAGCTCCGAAAAACGCAGGAGGATGATTTGAAGGCAAAGAAGGCTCGACTTAGCCATGCGAAGGAGGCCCCAAAGAGGTTCGAGGAGGAATGGGCTCGCCTCGACAAGATTACACTGGAGATCCAGATGCAGGCAGCGGGCACTGAGGTACGGGCAGTAGAGGCTGTCCAGATCTGGAAGCATACGGCGGAGTGCCAAAAGTGCCTCGCAAACTACGCGTCCGAGTCCTACCCAGAGTGCATCGACGACACTAAAAGGGTGATCCTGAAGATGATGCCTGACTTCAAGGTAGACGAGTTGGAGGTGTACCCGGATTCCCTCACTCCTGAAGGGACTGGTGAGGTCCTCCATAGCGTTGCTGACAGCGCCGAGGACTCTACTACCCCTCCTACTGGCGGTGAAGCGTAGCTGGCTTCTTGCTTCTGTGCTTTTGTGTTGTTTTTACTTTGTTCTTTTTTGATGTGTATGTGCTTGGCCTTTGAGGCCAAAGAGAAAAAAAAAACTTTTGTAAATGCTTATACTTGATGAAATGAATGAACGAAGAGCATTTTTTGTATGTAATGCTCTCTCTCTCTCTCTCTCTCTCTCTCTTTTACCGAGGGGTCCCTACCCCTTCCTTCGAAGAGATGACAAGGCAAAAAATAACTTATAACGGTTCATTAAGAACTCGCTTTAGGTAATTGGGGGGGGAGGTCGAGGCAGAGTTGTGCGACCGAGGTGCAACTCGCCTGGCCTACTTTCCTCCCAAGTGTCTGCTCAGGTGAAGCCGAGGTGGCCTACCGAGATAGGGGAAGCCAAGGCAGAGATGTGCGACCGAGGTGTAGCTCACCTGGCCTACTTCATCCCCAAGTGCTTGCTTAGGCGAAGCCAACGTGACTTGCCGAGATGGTTGGGGTCACAGGCTGAGGCATACTACCCAGGTAACCAGGGGCTGCCACATTTCCTACTATCGTGCTAAGTGCTGGGGACTGAGGGGCCATTTGCCACCGAAGTTGGTGGTGAGGTGTGCAATGCCTTGGCCACCCTAGCACATTCATGCTTCACGAGGTGTTGGAGTTGGGTGTTTGTTATTGGCTCGAAGGGAGCTGTATGCCTTGACGACGGTTCGGCCTGAGTACATAGTCCTCAGAGGAGGTTGTGCGCGTCGGCTAGTCGCGAAGCCGAGGAATCCTGGGGACTTAGTGATAACACGCGCTGGGATTTGAACCAAAGAGGAACTTTGCATTAGACATTCATTGTTTGGCCACTAAAGTTTACAATCACTAGTAATACATCTGAAGATTCTCCAAGTTCCACGTCTGAGGGATGGGTCTTCCATCTAAGTGCTCAAGGCGAAAGGTACCAGGGCCAATGACTTGCTTGACTCTGTA